TCTTGGTTGTTGGTTCATTCGCTGTACAGGAGAGCTGACCTGCAGTTGTTCTAAATGAGCCTCTGAAGCTCAACGTGGCTTCATTGTGATACACAGAGACGTGTGGATAATGTTAACAGAGTGAAATCAAACTTTTGTGTGCATTGAATTCCAGTTTAAGCCTTCAATACAACCTTGTGGCGTAGCTGCACGTTAAGGTTAAATCTGGGGCACCGTCTCAGATGACTGAGAAACGTAAAAGAAGGAATTTAAATGTGATTCTGCTGATCAGCCTGATGAATAAACAAGAAGAAGAAATGCTCAAAACGGTATTTAGAGATCAATGCGATAATATTTGGCTTAAGAAAAATCTAAATAAGAGTGGCACAGATTAACAGTTCTGTGGAGTGAATGAGTCTTCAACAAGGGGAGCAGAGTTTAAAATAAAGACTTTTCAGGTGAAAAAAACTTTAAAAGTAACCATAAAACTGGAAAGAGCAAACATGAAAGGAACCGTTTTTATAAAAGTCAGACGACAAAGCGGTCATGTAGTTTAGTACATGAAGGCGTAAATTGTTGCTTTGCCGTCAGTTTTGGAACTTTCCGTCTCTTTCATCCTACAGATGCAGTTTTTGGAGCGTGCTAATTCCAAACAGCAAACCAAACACAGATAGAAACTACAGTTATATTCTCTGTATACATATAGATGTTGAAAGAAAAAGGGGGTCACGTTCCAGATCCCCTTTGCAACAACAGTTTGTGGCTTCTTTCTCGCCAGCTGGCCTCCTCATGGGGGTCAGGAGTCGTGGTCAGACGTGTACGTCGCAGCTTCGATGTCTCCAAACTAAACATCCCTCTGGTGGACGTATGAAAGTCACTTTTAAATGTGGTGTTCTTGTGACCACTTACAACTGAGCTGCAGCTCAAATTAGTGCAAAGAGAATGTGGAGGATCATCAAAAAGCAGTTTTCTTGTTGGTTGTTCCATCTCCAGTCATCAGCTTCCTGGTGCTCAGCCATCTTTGATTCACCTGGAACTATATTATCAGAAACTGTGGCTGTTTGAATCACACATGTGAATGTTAAATTGATGTATTAAACAGTTTCAGAGATGGATGTTTCTGTAAACCTCCTGCCAACCCACTTCTAGCACGTTGCTCCTTTCTTTATGGTGCATTGGAAATGGATTCAAGACCAATGACAGAAGCTGCAGAACGTTGAAGTTAGTGATGGGTCCAGCAGCACCGATGTGGAGCTCCTGGAGCCAAACCCCGTGTCGGTGCACGTATGGCTTGAAGAAAGTCACGTGACCGATNGGCCATTAGGCACAGAGGTACAATGTGGTACTGAGTGTATTGCATGACCAAAATGAGGAAACCCATCCAGGCAGAGCACAGCAGCCAAATGCACACAGTGCTGATGTATCTGATCCGGACCCCTGCTCCACGTTTCAGCTTCATGTAGGTGATGGGGTGAACAACAGCCAGGTAGCGCTTCAAACAGATCAGGATGGGCAAGAACATCTGTGCACTCCAGGGGAAAACCTCAATAAGGAACCCTGCCACCATTATCTCAGGAAGACCAGTGAAACCGCTCAGACTGCTCATGGCAGAACCCAACATTCCAATGAGCTCCATCACAGCCATGTTGTAGGTGAAGAAGTCGGAGTGACTCAGGACCGCTGCAGAGGAACGCTGCTGGTTCCATCGCTGGAATCCAAGACAGAGGACGAAGACAGAGAGCGGCAGGACGATGTTGGTAATGTTGGCAGTTGTGTGCATGTACAATGAAGTGATGGCGTCAGCGCATGATTTGAAGGGGAGCTGACGAGGAAGGGAGTCATTGGTGGGGGACGAATAGTTGACTGACATTTTCAAACAGTGGAGGCCTCAAGAAGCAAGAAGACACAAAGATTATTGAAAATTAGACCCAGAGAGATGGAAAAGAAACAAGCAGAAACATATGTGAAATGTCTGATATGAGATGACGAACATCATAGAGCTGCAGGAGGAGCTCTAACAGCCTTGAGTTTTCTCATGACTCCTACAGCTCACTGCACAGATATTCTTGCCCATTAGTTTTCTCAGCTGGAATCACTGAAACACGCTGTTTCAGTGGTCACAGGTTGTACATTGTGTCATGTACTGCACTCTTTATGACAGTAACGTGTGGATAAAATTCTTTTACGGCTGTTGGGAAATATTTCCACTGCAATACTGCAAGTGACCACTGGGTGCCCCATATGCTATATAATATAATGTTATGTGTATGCAGTCCGGATATAAAAATAGATTTGTCACATTGAAAATAAAATAGACCCTTTAGTTTATTATCGTTGTTATAGTTATAAGTTATTATGCTGCTGGGCCTGTACTGAGTGGAAATACTGGAACAAAGTTAGCCAACTGAACGTAGTGTAGAGTCACACATTACATCATCAGCAACACATCGTTTATTGGATTTGCAATATGCAAAAAAACCGTCATGGTCCTCCTGCTGTCTGTCATTCTGATATATTAAAACAACACTAAGGTGTTAATGTAC